GTGTGTGCGCGCGAGGGATGTGTGCCCCCGCGGGGGAAAGGGCAGCAGCAGAAGAGTAGTCTTCCCCCCGAAGATGTGGGGGGAGATTGTGTGTGTGTGTACATCGCGCGCAGACACACGCGCGGGGTTTTTTTGGTATGTGTGTGGGGCAGAGTGTTGTGGATTTTTTTTTTTCTGCGGGGGGGGTTTTGTGTTTCTAACGTGGGGCAGGGCAGCCAGGCACACGCACCAAGAAGTGTGAAATAGATTTCGCAAAGAGACAGAGAGAGAGAGAGAGAGAGAGAGAGAGAGAGAGAGAGTGCCCAACGAGCAACCGGCCGAACACACCAAGATAACGGTGACACAATAAAGCACACACACACTTGCCGCATTTGGAGGAATTTTTCTGAATCCATTTTTTTTTGTTCTACAAAGGCGTATCTTTGGCTACTTGACCTGCTGCGACCACGGAAGGCTTCTGCATCACTTGGACCAGTACGGATATTAGAAGGTGTTGAGCGCAGGCCGGAACGGTTGTACAAACAGCAACAACAACAGCAACAACAACACACTCGCACCTGTTCCTGGGTAGAGTCCGCCCCGAACACGTTGTCGAACTTGCGGCGACGGCTGTCTCCGGTAATGATCACCTGTGTGGCGGTTGGCAGGTTTCGTATTTTCATGAAACGAAACATCAATCAATGATAAAATGATAGGTACAGGTAGAAGTGCGAACTTTTATCCAGGCGAAAGATAAGAAAAGGTTCCAAATCGCTCTTTTCCTGCCGATCCGCGTGTCCCTCTGATGAGGTCGCGGGCTTTTGTGAAAAGAGGGAATCGTCCTCGACAGACGTTGGGGAGTTTCTACCTTTATGAAGGTGGTCTCCACACTTTTCGCTTTTTTAAAAGCTCCCCTGTGTACTCGGGTTTTGATATTGGCTGTGCCCAGAGATTTGGCCAGCATTATACCGGCAACCGGCACTAATAAACAGGGAACCTCTACTGCAGTCTACTTTCTGCCAATATTATCCAAAGGGGCTGACTCTGCTTCTTTTCCAACATCGTGCCCTTTGTATACTATAATAGGCATGGGCGGAATGCATATCCTAAAACAAGTGCCTCTGATCCTCGACGTCGTCCATTCAGAACAATGTGTCCAGCCTAGTCATTGCGACGAGGGCGCCTATTGGCTGCTAATAATCCGGAGCCTTTGGACAATGATATTGACTTGTTGTAGCAATGTCCTTTCCGACCGGGCTTCACGAACCGTGCTTGCATACATACAAAGATACTAGGCACGTGTAGCGTACAAGCTACGGCAGGATCATCGACGTTTTCAGTCTAAATACAATAACGGAGTCTTTCAGTGAATGTACAACATGTTGCAGCAGTTTATGCGTGCAAAGAGTTCGTGATCTTTGCAAGCACGCGGGAATGTAGAGACACGACCTAACCGGATAGTCTAGACTACTTCCAAGCACTGAAGTACAGTACATTAATATGAACTTCTTGGTGCTGCATAGCAATCGGTACGGTACAGCATACTACATTACCAGCAGGTAAGCAGCTTACAGCAGTGGTCTACACAACGCAGGGAAGTTGTTTTCAGTGTCGACCTGTTAACACGTGACACAGGAGGACGCCACGCGAACAACACCGAACACCAAACGTACAAAGAAGACAGCCACCGGAGAGCACGTACCACAGGTGCATATCCATGCACCCTTCTCTCTCCTTTCCTCGCCATCACTCTCTCCTCACCTGATTGTTGTCGTTGTCACCGAACATGCACTCGACGCATCCCTGCGCAGTCTCCATCCCCACCAGGGGTCGCACCCTTACGGCCACCTTGACAGATGTGACGGATCCTTGGGGTGACGGCGCCACCGCCGCCCCAGGTTCAGCCTCGGCGGGAGGTCCGACATCTCCGCTTGCTGCGGAGCTGGCCATCTCTCCTCTCGCCCCTTGCTTTGCTTGCTGTGGCTGTGTGTGTATTTATAGGAAAAGGACCAACCGCCACAAAGGTTGGAAAGGAGTTCCAGAGACCCAAGTGGCCTTCCCAAAAAGGGGCACCCGCACATTTAACCCGAAAAAGAGCGATGGCAGAGAGGAGCATCCAGGAGTCCTGTCCCAAGTACGAAAAGCCCTAACATTGCGTCAAGGCAGCTAGCTGCATTCGCTGCGCCCAAGCAGAAGTGTGGCAAGCAGAGAGGAAACAAGTTTGATCCAAACCGAACAGATTCAATTGTTTTGTTTTTTCTTGATCAGTTTCGGACCTGTCAAACTCGGCTACACACCGTCTTCGAATAAAAGGTACATGTAGCACGTATGCCGTTGCTCCCGTGTAACGCCGCGTAAATACAGCCGGTTGCCCTGATCAAGGCCCTTGAAATCGCGTGACGCAGGATGGAATATTCAAGTTGACTCATGCTCCGAGCACCGCACCCCCTGGACCGGTCTTCCAAAGCTCGATTCTCCACAGCAGTAGAAGAGAGTGGTGGCGGCGCCCAAAAATATTCGATTTTGGAACCGTCGCATCCATAATGGGCTTTCCGAAAACGCAATCATCCTCTTCTGTCGTGTAGAAATTGAGCGTTGAAAGTTGGTCTAGGGGGTGTGGTATCTTACGCCACCTACAAAGGTAGTTCCGTGTGCCCGGACAATAGGGCCGGCCAAACCCCCCTCTGGGCAATCGATGGGGTCTTGAAGAGAGGAACAATGCGTCATCTCCAAGTTCAGGCTCAGACTTTCCATCTTCCTCGCAGCACAGCAACAAGGACAACAGTCCGTTCATGCTGCCTGGACATAAATCGAACAGTCTACTGTACACAAGCACACGCACAGTCGAGCCTGACACCAAGGAAGTAGGGAACTTCCAAGCCTAACCCCGATCAGGCACGTACCGGTTGTTTTGCTCAAACCAGAAAGTAAAGAACCTGGTGTTCTTCAGCTTCTAAAAACTCCATATAATGTACCGCCCGATTGAGAGGCCGGCTCCAGGCATGACAAAACAAACAGCACAAGCTCTCTCCCGACAGTAAAAGTACCGTTTGGTCCCGCGGGGGGATGTATGCAACACAAGTCGTACCTTCAAACATCGCGTGACAACGAGAAGCTACACCAACCAACGGGTAAAACGGCCAGGCCTGACAATACCCCGATGTGCGGCAACCGAGTCACACCCAAAAAACGTGGACAGTACGGGGGGTTGCATTCTACTTGGAGGGCGCTTTTTTACACTTTCCATGACCCCAAGCCACACGAATGTTGCCCGGTCTTCTTGCTCAACCTATCGCGGAGATAATGAACGCCAACCAAGTACACGAAGTACACGAAGTACAGCAGTAGAGCGCCGAAAAAAAACAGCACTCGAAGAGCTTCCACATGTAATTTCCTACGGCACTATTAGAGAGACGGAAAATCTACTGCTTTGATATCTGCGGAGGGAGGGCTCCTCGTGACGCAGCCACAACAACAGCAACAGCAACCACCGTAGCAAAACCAACAACAGCAACCACAAGAATACGACGACAATGACAGCAACGGCATATACATCTAATATTGCAGGTATTGTCGAACGGAGGTGAAAAAACAAAATACAACGGTTTCCCGCGACTCTCGCGACCTAGCGTACCAGGCTCCCCCCCTCTCTCATGCATTCCACAGCTAACACGAGCCCTAATAATGGGCGAGTTACGCAAGTACTCCGTATAAAACAGCGACGATGATAGTTCCGTAGAGAACACTTGCGTAGCAAGAGTTTTTCGCCACTATTGTACCCTTTTCCGCTGCACCCAAGAACGTCTGCGGGGAATCAATCGCCCAACCGCCAAAATTGGCAGTCAGAGGCGACCGGAACGTATTCTTGATGCCGCTGAGAGCGCTCACTCCACAATTGAACCACTGAAACGTAACAAAAAACACAAAAACGTCAAACAAGCAACACCGCACACACCGGTACACATAGCAGCATATTTGAAACCAGTAACAGATACACAACGGTGTGGACCATAAAGTCAAAAACCAACAGCCAGCCGAAGCACAGTAGGAAGCAAAGCGGAGCGTACAACAGAGCACAAATCAATATGAAAGCGGTCAGTCTCACCCGAATCAACGGTCTGAAGCGGGTGTGCTGCTGGTAGCGTCGGAATTGTGACGGCCGTGCTTAATTTACCCCAAAGCGTCG